AAATACTTTACTGGTCATTGTCCCGTTTTACAGCTGTTATTCGCTTGCTTGCTTGCGTGTCAAAGGAAAGTTTATGCACAAATGGGCAAGCAATCACGTAAAACATGCAGACTCAGCATACTATATGTATACATACAACCAATGCTTAATCATCTGGTTAAGATGAATGTGTGGTTTTGGGTATGTTTTGTTTATACATTTTTAATTTGCCGCACATAATTTACCGCATTTGTGCTCGCTCGCAAATCCTTTTTACGTGCTTTTGGCACATTTTAAAGTCTTGCAGCCTTTTTTATGTTTGAGACCCAAGTTGAGTGACCAATGTGGTATTCATTTTGGTGATACAAATCAGCGGCTTGGCATCATGCCGCAATGCTGCGTGTTGAGTTTAAATCGTTGACATTGCATAAAATACACTCTAAACCATTTTTGGCTAATTTACGTCGATAATGGTAGGCAACACATTACCGACTATAAATTTCTAAAATTAAACAACTATTTTTGTAAACAGCTCTTGTAGAATTTTACGCAATAAATGTTCAACATTTTAGACACTAGATGCTTAATAGTTTATATACTAAGTAGATGCTTAGATTTACACACTAAGTGCTTATCGTTTACACACTAGGTGCTTCTATATTTTCATACATATATTTTTCCAAAGAGGAGTTATTCGCTTGCTTATGCTTATGAAAAAAAAAAAAAATGTGATCGAAATCATGATACAAAAAAGAAGGTAGTTTCATTACTACTATTTTTTGATTATAAAGCAGATTTTTGACATTTCTCCAGATGCAAGCATTAAGCATAGCTTTGCCACATTGAAATTTTTTGAGAGGGGAGATTTTCTTTTAAATATTTAGGATTTGATAAATGAGGAAAATTTAGATACAAAAAATAGCAAGTTCATGTGTTCGATAATCAAATTTGAACGTTTCTCTCAAGCGTTTTAAAGATCCTTTGAATAATATCGATGTGCAGAGACATTCATTTATTAAAAAGCTTTTTTTTCATTTTATTTTAAATAAAGTAAATAAATTTACAAAACAAAACTCTTTTTTTTATAATAGTCCGAAGAAGATGTATTGATAGATATTTCGTCATTAAAACATAGTGCGAAGTGAAGTATCCAGAAGTAATTCAGGATACAAAACTGTCGTGTAAATCTAATGTGCAACACAAAATCTCTAAAGAATTGGCAGGATTTTGGCAATGTAAGCAGGTCTTTGGCAAAACGTGGGGTGTCACCATAGGGAATCCTCTGGATTTATACCTCTATGATCAGACCCATAATTATCTATGCGTCAGTGGTATAGTGGAGCAGATTCTCAATCAAGAGCGTGGGAAGTCTGCTTGCTAAACTTCAAAGAACTACTGCCCTGTGCTGTCCAGAAGCTTTGTCTACAATACGCGGCGCTGCTCTTGATGCACTGCTGCACTTACCGTCACTTTGTGTCTTCATACGAGGGGAAGCTTTAAAGGCCACCTGCAGGCTAAAAAGAAACGGATGCTGGTATAACACTGAGTGGGGCAGGGCGGAAATTGCTAGCGGCAGAGATCTGAGCACTTGTGTCTTTTCAATGCCACAGGATAGTACGCCACCTTTACCTTTGTTGAAGAGATTCTATAATGTTTAGTTCCCTGCGGCCGAATGCTGGTTTAATACCAGCACTGAGCCCGGAATCGCACATAATCGAATCTTCAATGATGGCTCCAAAACTGACTCTCTCTTGGACTTTTTTCTGGGGAAGTATGCTTCGGTCTTCCAGGCTGAGGTGTTTGCAGTGACAGCCAAACTGCACTTAAGGCATTGGGCAGCCCTCTAACTACTTACTGCCAAACTCTGGGTGCCAATTCAACTGGCAGTAACTCCTACCGTCCATAACTATAATGTCTATCATAGCATGAAGCACCGAAATTAGAGCCTTACCTTTGCAAAGCACATCCAAATCCTTTTCGGTGACTGGCTTTAGAAGAAACTAATTTAATAACAGCTAATTTTTGCGGTGGACAACATATTTACCGGTCTTTTATTTCAAAGAAAAAGTCAGTTGGTTGCTTTTTAAATATGGCGATGTATGAATTTAAATTTTCGTTATTGCTCAGATCGAAGACAAATTTCCTTTTAATTTTCTAAATATTTTTTTTTTACACTAAATAAATGATTATTGAGGATTAGGTATGGTAGCACGAAATGTCACAATCTGCTTAATTGTCAGGTAGTTAATATGGCGCCCGAAAAGTGACAATGAAACAACCTTCTTTTTTGTATCATGATCGAAATGAGCCTGCATTTATAAATGGTTTCGTACTCGAAAGTATTGGACAATTCACCTTTTCACAGCTAGCAAAATGCTTTAAAATATGTGAGTATTATGCTTGATGGAAAAAATGCACAAGATTCCACCGAACAATTAAATTTACCATTCATAGAAGTAACACATTTAACCACGTCGCCTTTTACGCAATGATGCACTTCATAAGCATTATTGCTTGAAATTTTTTTCTTGCATTTCGGAAACAAATACTCAAACATATTACAATTTAATTNTACTCGAAAGTATTGGACAATTCACCTTTTCACAGCTAGCAAAATGCTTTAAAATATGTGAGTATTATGCTTGATGCAAAAAATGCACAAGATTCCACCGAACAATTAAATTTACCATTCATAGAAGTAACACATTTAACCACGTCGCCTTTTACGGAATGATTTCTAGAAAAATGCATTTCATAAGCATTATTGCTTGAAATTTTTTCCTTGCATTTTGGAAACAAATACTCAAACATATTACATTTAATTCCCTATGCGCATATAAATGCAAATGATAACTTTACATACAAACATTTCCAAAATATTTATGAACTATGAACTTATAAAAATAACACTAACTGCTTTTATAAATATGTATTTATTACGCCAAAATTCCACTGAANTAGAACTATGAACTTATAAAAATACCACTAACTGCTTTTATAAATATGTATTTATTACACCAAAATTCCACTGAAGAACACCAACAATTAAAAATTTGCTCACACCAAACCGACTGACGCGACGATTTCCAACAAATAAACGTTTACTGCTATTTAATGAAAAAAACGATTATAAACGTGTTCTTACACGATATGTATTTGCATCTGTAAATGTGACTTTTTCAACACATATGTATGTAATTGCGTATGGCTATCAAATTCACAGTCTTTATTTAATTATTTAAAAATACGTTGTTTGAAAATGAAATTAACTAAACTCAGATGATTCTATCTGTGTGTCAGATGAAAATAGAAACATATCTATTTTGTACTAGCCAATGCCCGCTTACTTTGCGGTGCCTAATAAGAACTTTTGCGTTGGCCAATGCAAAAGGGCGTTTAAAAGCAAAACTAGTCTGTTAGTCCGGAAGATATAGAAATGTGAGATTTCACGGCTATGGAATATGCCGGGGCCCCTTATTCAAACTCACTAATGTTTAGATCGCTATAAGCGCCTACTTTAGTTATGTCTTCACAGGGTGAGCAGATGAGTCGAAAGAAAAATCGGGACACTGCATTTTTGAAAGTTAGTACAATATATTTCTTTTTCATCAGATTTGAGNATGTTTAGATCGCTATAAGCGCCTACTTTAGTTATGCCTTCACAGGGTGAGCAGATGAGTCGAAGGAAAAATCGGGACACTGCATTTTTGAAAGTTAGTACAATATATTTCTTTTTCATCAGATTTGAGTTTTGAAATGATTGTTTTTACGGCCAAGTGTAAGAATTGAGAGTTCTCAATTATGTGAAAATCTTTTTCAAGGTCGCCAACAAAAGCTTAACACCTTCAAATACAATAGGTAGGATGCCGTCAGGACCGGGCGACTTGGAACTGTCAAAAGACTCAATAGCATAACTTATGACATTTTCATTCGTCACAGTTCTGGCAACAAACCAGTTGTACCTTGACACAGTGGTTTTATATTTATGTGCTAGTGACAATCGAAAAATTCTTTACGTGTATTGTAGTTTCACGTTGTTATTATGTGAACGATGTATTAAAAAGCGCAGTAGAAAGTAAAAAAGGCAGATTTGTAAAAATCAGGACAAATTTAAAATCAGTCNTTTCGTCACAGTTCTGGCAACAAACCAATTGTACCTTGACACAGTGGTTTTATATTTATGTGCTAGTGATAATCGAAAAATTCTGTACATGTATTGTAGTTTCACGTTGTTATTATGCGAACGATGTATTAAAAAGCGCAGTAAAAAGTAAAAAAGGCAGATTTGTAAAAATCAGGACAAATTTAAAATCAGTCAAGACACTTTAATTCGACCCTGAAATCAGGACATCTGATAAATCAGGACGTCTGGTCACCCCCAATGTCTTCACACCAAATTTCAAAGTCATGTGACTTCCGGTTCCGAAAATANCAAGACACTTTAATTCGACCCTGAAATCAGGACATCTGATAAATCAGGACGTCTGGTCACCCCCAATGTCTTCACACCAAATTTCAAAGTCATGTGACTTCCGGTTCCGAAAATATTGCTGATTAAAAGTTTCACGCCTATGAGAAGTGCCACGCCCTTGTACAAACTCACTCATATATTCCTTACTATAAGTGCCTACCATGGATATGTCTACATATAGTATATCTACATACTTTACAATAAGCATCTACCATGCCAGACAAACAGACAAACATACAAACAATCTACAGTTTTATTATAGTAAAGAAGATTGAAGATATATAAAAAAAAATTGTATATGCGAAAACCTCTTATATAAAAAAAATTACTATTAGCGTTTATTACCAGTTCTACCATAATTTTTTACACAATAAANGCCAGACAAACAGACAAACATACAAACAATCTACAGTTTTATTATAGTAAAGAAGATTGAAGATATACAAAAAAAATTGTATATGCGAAAACCTCTTATATAAAAAAATTACTATTAGCGTTTATTACCAGTTCTACCATAATTTTTTACACAATAAACATATTGGCATTTCCTCTACATTTCTGGTATATCCTCAGGCCCATTAATAGTAACACTACTTGGAGCACGACTGGTAGTTAGACTCTGGGTTTGACTTAGCGTTCGACTGGATGTTCTTTCCCTCACAAGGGAGGCTGCCTTTAATACGCCACCTTTCATAAAATCATATGGATTAACAGGCTTACCATAGAAAAACTTTAGCTCAGGGCTTAACATGGTGCTGGGGAGCAACTCTTTCTCGGAAACCAACACCTTCGGTTCAGGCAAAGGTTGAAACTTGAAAAGCCGCTTGCGTAATTTCGGCTCATAGGCTGGTTTCATGTGAGCGGGCGTCTTATGAAGTTGAGATGTGATTTCACTCAAGCGCTTCCGCATCACCGGATAGTCACGCAATTGGCGTTCGGGGGGCAAACTTTGCTTAAGCCTCTCCAACTGCGTAGCAGTAAACATCACTGGACGAATATCAAGATCGGGAAATCTTTCGCTGCCACTGTTGAACACAATCTTTTTGTTGATGCGCAGCTGTCGCCTTATCACGCGCTTGGAGATGCAGTTGAAACGTATTTGCATTGGCGCTGTAGGCATGCCGCCCGGTCGTATGGATAAATACTCCCTGTGCGGTGAATTAATCATGTTGATGTACTTGGAATCTGGAAACATTAAAAGTGATCTGACACGCCTTTCTGGCGTCTTTTTTCTCGTAGGCACTCTGGCTTTGCCTTTGGTCTGAAAGAGATGGCGATGACCGCCCCCGATGACATGATCCCAGTCGGGGCTGCAATGCCGGTTTACATTGATCTTTCTATAAGGCAGTCGACGGAATTTTAAACGTTTTTCACGCTCGATAATTAAACGCAAGCCGGGAGTTAGATTTTTTTTGCCACAAGGACAATGCTTGGGGTAGCGCACTTCGTAACGACCCACCGCTGGCTCGAAGCTAGTATGTCGGCGTATGTGGGACATGGGCTTCTCGGGTACGCAGGTGTGTGGTAGAAATATATGTGGATTTGGAAATTCCTGTTGAGTTTGGGGTGAACTGTCAAGAATGTAATAAAAAAAAATCAATAAAAAAGGGTTAACTGCACATCGGAGATCTGTGCTCACACATTATAGGCAAGTTCATGCAACAAGGGATCGTAGTGTGCAGGAGATGGCTCCGAAGGATTGCGATAGATCATTGAGGGATTAGATATCATGCAACGTGCCGTAGCGCGTCTATCTCGTGCATCTGAAAATTCAAGAATGCTGGAAGTTTCGAAAGAGGTTTGTATTGGGAGAATTTTCGAGTCTTACTCGTCAAGAAAATGCCTTTGTGTTTATTTGCAGGCGATAGAAAACGTTCGGTGTCGCGCGGCAATTCATAAAATCTCCATTGACCTTCATTAGAAGGGCCTTCCGGTTTCGATCTTAACTCGTATATATTTTCCATCTTTTGCGGTATTTTTCGCCAATAGGAACCGAGGTAGCCACGTTTACTACCATAGGGTTCTTTCGAGATATCATAGGTGTTGGGAGGCAATTGCCAGGGCTTATCTTTCGCCAAATCGCGTGACATTTTTGTTATGTGCAAATCGGTACAGGGCTCTACGCGAGGCGAATAAATACCGACGCGGTTTTTTAGATCTCGCTCGTTTCTTGTTTCGATGTCTTTATCTGCAAGAGATCAATGTTGTATAAATGGTCGATGTAAGTGTTATCGTGTAACTACCTTCAATGCAGTGCTTTGTAAAGAATTGCCGCTTCTTCTTAATATAGCTCGGTATGGTGTGTCGGTTATCATGTCTGAAGCTGGTTCCTTTCGAAGAGACTCTTGTTTATGGCATTTTGTTGTTGAATTTAATACCAAATACTTACTTTCGGATAGAAAAAGGGGCAAATTCAATGGCGTGGACACAATATGCACGCGAGTTTCGCGATTTTTCGTAGACATATTCGCAATTTTTTTGAAATTGTAAAACTATTAACAAATACAAATGTTTACTTGCATATGGAATATTTTCCTGCTTCAATGTACAAGACGTTACAAAATTATTGATTGCAAACTCAAACGATTTTACATTACACAGAAATTTTTAATGAATAGTACTACAGTTAATGTGAATACTGTCTCTGATTATTAAAATCGTGAGCAACCTTATACCATATCCCCACCGGAGCTAACCACGTAGTTATGGCTATTGAGTTGGTTATACCGATAACCCACTTGATTTAGCGTAGTTTCGCCATATAAAAATGACAGCACTTAACCATTTCACTGAGATGGTTAAAAGCTAACCAACTCGAAACCACGTCGAAAGTCTGATACAACCCTGTGTTTTCCCGCCATCTGTGGGTCATTAGCGTTAAAATGTAAAGAATTCGTTCCCTACTAGTGTTTGGACTCAACTAAGATCAGATTACATTTACTCCGGTTTTTGAAAAAATTTGAAATCTACTCCTCTACTCCGCTTGACTTCCAATCTATTCCGTTTTTTTCATTCATGTTATGCCCCTTTTGGGGCCGTTTTTTGAGTGTTCACCACCGGTTTCAGTAAAAAAATTGAAAGTTAGCCAAATCTCACTGTTAAAAAGTAACTCTTTCATAGCAATGCGACAATAAAGTAACTTCGTTATTTTTTGATGTATGGCTGTACAAATTGGCGGATGCAGAACTTTACTTAACTTGTTAAAAAATATATGTAGAATGAAATTTATATAAAGTAGAGAAGGTTTGCTTTTTAAAAAATTAAGTGTTAGATACTATACTATACTATATAGAAAATGCTAAAAATTACCTAAATATGTAACATATTATCCTTACATTGCCCCGCGTTCTTATTTTGCATGAATAGAAAATATTTTAGTCAAACAATTAATGTCAGAAACAAAAATAAAAAATTCAATCTAGTACGGATTATTTGTTTTTGCTCTGATTTTTGCAGTAATTTAGTCCTGAATCGATTTTTGGAGGTCCGAACACTGTTCTTTACATTTGTACTGTTTTATAAACCTCAAACCGCAGTGTGGACAGCAATAGTTAGTGATGTGGTTAAGTTCGATTTGAGATGGTTAACTTTTTGGTGGGGACATGGTATTAAATGCGCAGATGCGTTTCCTGTCGCCAAGAGTTCAGCACACCTTCTGGTGACTGTTTTACTCCAACAGCTAACGAATATAAGATCGATCATTCGGCTGCCTTGAATTTTACGTTGAGTTCACTGCTTAACCTGGTGGGGAGTACCTTGTAGATCATCTGGTGAAGGCTTCTCGCCGGTGCTCAATACAAGTACTGAAAATTCCTGAGGGAAAAAACATTGCATTTGTGTGGAGTGGTGGAGTGCAATAAAGCCCACGGAAATAACTGCCCATGGGCTTTATTCCCTAAAAAAAAAAATAAAGCCCGCGGGCGTTATTTCCAATTTGGAAGGGAAATAGCGTCTCACCAATAAAAAGCAGTGTCCGCGAGTTAGATTCAGAAAAGTACTCTCAGAGAGGGCCAAAACAGCGTAGTTACTGAATGAAGATATTTATTGCGAATGTGGCAAACCTTTACTAGATAGTTTACCATGGAGCGACGGATTTTTTCTGCAGCCATTGCTGGAAGTTTAGCAATACCTTCCAACTTAAGGCAATTAACGTTAGATAAAAACCTCACAGAAGGTTGCGCAAGGGTCAGTCGGAGCCGTTATTTTCACCTTACATAGGTTTCTCTCCTCAATTTTTACTCGGCGTGGCCAAGAAGAAGCGCGAATGCTGGTATATGGACTCTGGATAGTGGTCGACCTCCAAATTTACTGAGATCTACCGTGGGATCGTGATCATCGCGGTGAATACTTCATTTTCGCTGCATGCTAGGGCAGTTCTGATTCTAAGTAAAACTTTCTTGAAAAAAGCTGGGTGATATCCCTCTCAAGTTTGCATGAAAAAAGTTGTGAGTTCGGTAGCTTTATGTCTGCGGTAAACAATGCTAAAGTGGAAGGCTAAACTTGCAGGTTTCTAAACTGGGTTGGACGATTGATTTTATTCTGAGCCCAATTAGCAGATAATCGTTGCCTAGTAGCTGCAAAGCGACTGTGTTCAGCTCCATGGATATCGATAGCTCTCCCTGACTGTGTATATAATAATATAAAATAATTAATATAATTATGTATTTCTAATTCAGTATCCGAGTTTTGGTGCGGAATTTCGCCATTCAGCTACGATGGCCACCATAAAAACAATTCTTTACAATGCACTTTTATTTACATACTTTCCGTAAATTATTTCAATCTGATATTCAACATCGGTGTTGTTTATTAATTTTAGTTTAGTGGCGTAAATATAAATAGGGAAGATATATTTTAGCATTCTTGGCTATTTGACTTTCGTTTATTTAATGTTTGATGTTAAAAACCATGCAAGTCAATGTTTCAAACATTGTAAAACTTAGGAAAATTCGCAATAGAGCAAGAGCCAGCAGACGGCCAGACCTTCGTTATTTTATAAAGGCTGAAAGCTTCTCTATGTATGCCCCCAACGCAGGTTATAACAAACCCAGACTATGAAATTTGGATAGTGGTGGCTTTGGCAGGTACCAGGTAGTAAAGGTGTATAAAATACCACCTCAAATTCGTGATAGTATTAAGGTCAGTTTTTATATATTTTACTTTTTTTTATTTAAAAACTGATAAAAATTATACTTTGTTAGTTACTTATCGCAGACGGCGGTCCTTACAAGTTGAATTCCAATTTCTTACAAAATTTGTTAATGCCAATGGCTATTCGCTATGCCACAAAGCCTATTTTTTGCAAAATTTTATAAGAAATATAAACATAAAATTAGACTAAAATTCTATAAGAAGAGTATATTTGAGAAAAAATCTTTAGAATAAAATGTCCATGTCAATAAAATAAAATCTAATAAGTTAATTAATAATGTGTTGGAGCCTTACGAACTTATTTTACGTTAAATTTAATTAAAATTTCGATATTGTATTAAAAACTTATTGTTTCCCAATAAACATTGGGCTTGGTTAGCAATTCGAAAATGATTGGAAAAAAACACTTTTTTTCGAGTCTTACCTTCGATAACGAATGTGCAATAGGTTAGTATTCGATTCGAGAACTAAGCCATTCTCCAGCAAAACGGCACCTTCGTTATCCAATGTATTTTCCCTTCGTTATGAATTCGAAATCCAGCCCATTATCGAATTGAAATTTTATTGTAAGAGAGCGATTGTCTTATATTTTCCTTCGAGAATGAGATGGATTTCACTTTCTCTCTTGTTACTATGGTTTTAATTTTTTTTTCGAACCGATTTCGAGTGTATTTCAAATTTACTCTGAACGTTGGAAAACCAAGGTTGGTTATGAGTTCGTTCTCAGTTCGATATGCACATTGGATATCGAAGGTACTTTTCGAACGTTCGCCAAAATGTTTATAGGGTTACTATAGGAGGGAAAAATTATTTTTATAACACCGTAGGGAAAATTTCAAGTTTTCAAATGTCCCAAAAAACGCCGAGATTAATTTTGGATCCTAGATTATGGATCTATATACCGTTTTTCCATATCAGATCATTTTCACAAGATATTTTAATTTTTATGAAAAAATTTATGTGTATGCGCTTTATTTTGGTGCGAATCACGTAAGTACGATAATTTATTTTGAACTAGAATATTATTATGCATAGATATATATGACAAAAAAAAATCTGCAATGTACTGTTTTAATATTAGCAGCGCAGTAAGTCCGATGATAAAGTTCACAATTTATGAAACTTTAAAAAAATTAATTAAACGTCAAAAATTTTAAATCAAACTAGCTGTTTTTTGAACAATGCTCATCTCAAAAATCCAACCACATATAAACCAGAAGATAATGGTTGGCTACTGGAAAATTATCAATATCATTTCAAGTGGTTTGAAGGGGATCAGCTAACAAGTATATCAGGTATGTAATTATTATGTCAAATTATTGTATGTCGTCGCTGGAATAATGAAATAGTGTAACATGAAAAGTATAGTTTTGAGAAAAACGAATTGGTTGTTTTTATAAACCATTACAAACCATACAAATACAATTTCGTTTTCCGGCAATAAATTAGTGAGCCAAAGAGATATTTAAGAACACTAAAGATTTTTTTAATAGATTAAAGGATTACCTATCCAGTGGTGGAATTATCGAATAATAGTGTATATGGCATTTACACTGTTTCTTTATTCTAGCGACGATGTATATAAATTGTGGCAAATCAGAATTTTATTAACTTGGTTAAATTATTTCAGAAATTATTTCAGAAATTTACGGCGATATGGACGACGATGAAAATGATGAATTTAATTAAATAATACAAAAATACGTACACACATATTTGATATCTTACTTGTCTTAGTTTTGTTTACTTTTTATTTCTCTACAATAAAATAATTTGTTGGTTGGATTGCCTATTACACTTTAGGGGCGCTAAAATGACAGAAAAAAGCGCAGAGGCACGTATACTTATTTTTGGGCCATACATTACGGACTTTGCATTGCGAATGAAAAAAAAACTTTAACATAGAAAATGTTACTCATACGCCATATGCGAGTATTTACGATTACGGCCATGTACGATATGGCGTATGAGTAACATTATTTCCCGCTCCTACTTCATACAAAAAATTATTGCATACTTTCATTCCAAACTTATTTGTTTATCCATCGATTTTCATCGTTAGTAATTTGATTTTTTGGCAAAAGAATAGCTCTTATAAATTTTATATTCTATTCTATATATTTTATAAAATTTTGCAAAAATAGGCTTTGTGGCATAGCGAATAGCCATTGGCATTAACAAATTTTGTAAGAAATCGGAATTCAACTTGTAAGGACCGCCGTCTCCGATAAGTAACTAACAAAGTATAATTTTTATCAGTTTTTTCATGCTCGCACCTACGCTTTTAAAACGTCTGGCAAGATGAATGAACTAT